GATTTCACAGAAGTGTGATTGACTTGGAGTTACATTGTGTTGTTTAAGTGTTCCCTTTATTTTTTTGAGCAGTGTATAATGCTGCCTATACCTTCTTAGCCCAAGTTCTTGGCTCTAAGAAATCAAAATGGCAAACAGTGTCTTTTGGGGAGAGAGGTGGCTTGAATTAGTTTTGACTCTTAACAAGAGGATTTCAGAAATGACTTGCCATTGCCAACTTCTTAGGGCTGAGAGTGGATGACTGACCCAAGGTCACACAACTGGCTTTGTACTTAAAGCAGGACTATAACTCACAATCAACCAGTTTCTAGCCTGGTGCCTTAATCATCACACTAAACTGACTCTTTTAACTAGAACACCAAATAACATTTAAGTTTCTAAGTTAGCAGGTAAAAAATGTACAATGCTGTTAAACAATATTTAAGATCAATACCGTAAATCTAATGAAATATCTATTTGTTTTTCTAATCCTCCAGTTAACCATTTTTATTAGCAACCTAAAACTGTCCTATTGACATACTCACATTTAAAAATAAATCCAGTTCTGTAAATAATATCACGAGACAGTGGCTGACATATGAATGTGTTTAATTTCTCTTCTCAACACAGCACATTTCACTGCATGACTCAGAAACAACATGCAACTTACATAGATTTTGGTCCAGGGATTTGCCTTTCTGGCTCTTCATCTTCCTACTTAAAATCATCATCAAATTACAGTATGGCTTAACCAGCTACAGAAATTGAGAATCAATCAGACCCTAATATTGCTTGATGAAGTTCCAACAAACCCAAAATTTTCATTTTTTTGCAACTTGACTTAAGGAAGATATGTTCTTAATGTATTTTTGAATTCTACATTCAGTCCTTTGTATTATACTATATACCCCTGATGGAGAACCTATGGCACACGTACCAAAGATGGCACACAGAGCCCTCTCTGTGGGCACGGGTGACGTTGCCAGCGGCTCGTCTGGGTTCCATTGCAGGCATGCACACCAGCCAGCTGCTCTCTTCCAGGTTCCGGTCTGCGTATGCATGCCGGCCAACTGGTCTTCGTGCCGGAGCTCCAGAACCCGGAAGAGAGCAGCTGGCCAGTGCACATGCGCACAGCGGCCAGCTGCTCTTCCGGGTTCTGTCATGTGCATATATGCCGGACAGCTGTTCTCTTCGGGTTCTGGTGCTCTGGTGCCCACATGCCCGCGCACACACACACACTCCAGTTTCAGCACTCGGTGCCTAAAAGGTTAACCATCCCTGCTATATACAATAGTGCCGGATTTCATGCTAATGCCAAGCCTTGATCAATTATGGTTTATTGAACCACAATTGCTGAACCAAAATCACAAGCTGAACCAAAATCACATCAAAGCATGTGGCAACTTAGTTTGAACAATGTGTACAGGAAAATGGTTGCTAGGTCTGTGCGTGCTTCCAAAAATGATATGAAGGAAATGCTTTGGAACATGCAGAGGCCTAAAAAAAAAATGCAGGCATTTCAAGATATCTACTATTAAAATTAATGCAACGGCATTTGAGAGTGGGAGCAGGGAGGCTGCTGCACAGAACTTGGGAAAAAAATCATTCTGCTTTATTTCTAAAGTATATACAGTTCTAAGTTCTATCATAAAAACTGAATGGGATTTGCTTGCCCTCTCACGATATATTTTCTCCCAATATGGAAATATTAAAGGCAGACTCGTGTTTCATTATATATTGCATTTCTATCAGGGTATGTTTCTAACCATTACAGAATTGGTTCCAGAGCTCAGTGCTTCTGTTTTGAGTAGTTTTCAGACTGACAAGGATTCAGGAGACAATTTTTAAAAAAAGAATCACCTTCCAGCTTTCCAGACAGAGACTGGCAAGAAAAAAACAACACTAAGTCTGGCATTGTTTTTGCTTCTCTTATTGGGAGAATAAGAGGGTATTATTAGAGAAAATTGGAGAGGGTAATAAATTGATGATGAACCTACATATCCTTAGATATAAGCACTGCTACTGGGACCTATCACTGGTAAAGACAGCTGGCAAGAGGCCACTTACCAGGGAGGACCTTGAAGGTTGGTGGAGATATTCTGGTAATTGACTTTCTAAATAGCCTAAGTAGCACTCGCAATAGCACTTATTTATTGACTCATAGTTCTTTACAGCCCTCTCTAGGTAGTTTACAGAGTCAGCCTATTGCCCCCAACAATTTGGATCCTCATTTTACCAACCCCGGAAAGATGGAAGGCTGAGTCAACCTTCAGCCAACCATCGAAGTCCTGACAGTGGGCAGAGTTAGCCTGCAATACTGCATTCTAACCACTGTGCCACCACAGACACTTCCCACCATAGCAAGTATCTGCAGAAAAACAACCAAAGATGAAATGGAGAAGAAAAAAGCAAAGATCACAAAAAAATACATTTCTTATGTGTTAAAGATGGTCAATATATACCAGTGATGGCTAATCTTTTTCTAAAGGTGTGCCAAAATTGTGCGTGCGCACGCTGTTGCGTGTACATGCATGCCCCCCCACCTGTGCATGTCTGCATGATCCCCCCCTGTGTAGGCATGCACGTGCCCACGTGGGGGGGGGGTTGCCCTCCCTAAGCTCTGATGGCTTTCCTGAAACCTGGGCAGGGCGAAAAATGGCCCAATGGCCCAACCAAAAGTTTGGGAACGAACTTCCGGTTTGTCCATTGGGGCATTTTTCATCCTGCCC